CGTTTTCGCAGTTGGTTCTGGCCCTCTTATTTGATGTCGCAAAGATGTTTTCATCTGGCTTCCTCTTAATTGGCAAGATGGAATTTTGTGTCCTGTAGCTGGTGGTTGAGCAGGATGGAGCCATAGAATCGTGGCATTTCTGCTGGTCATGATCTGACCTTTCATGTTGGTACAGTGTTTCTCTGCGCACATCTTTCCAATTAGTCTTTTTTCTTTTAAGATCTGGGTGACTCGTATCCTTTTCATTTTCCTGCAGATGCTTTCTTTTACACTGTGCTTTCTTTGGAATTGTCTCAGCATTTTCACTCTGACTGGACCTGACTAAATTGTGGCCGTTCCTCTGCGTTGAATGGGGAGAACCGTTTTGGCTGTGGGGGATCACTAGTGTTTTTCTCTCTGCTGCAGAGGGAGGGAAGTTCCTTTGAGCAGATTGTCTGGTGTCAGAGGTGGGCTTGTGTGCAGACTCTGTCCTGCTGGTATTGAGACTCTGTCCTGGCGTCTCTTTCTTCTTTGTCCTTAAGTAGTTTATGTGCTCATAGCAGGACTCAACATAGGAGCTACTCTGGCGTATCCATGCAAGGTGGCTCAGTTTTGAAAAGGCATGCTCAAGGACCTGATTGGGTGTCATTCGTTTTTGGGGATCGAGGTGAAGCAAGTGCTTTACCATTTCTACAAACATCAGGACATCACACCTTTTTGCAGTTGCATCTGCATAATCCTCATCTTCAATGATCTCGTTATATAAGAGTTCATACAGAGACTTCAATTTTTTAACTCTTTTGTCAACAAACTCAATCCCAAACTCCTGGAAATATTGTTCAGTTGTCTTGAGTTTCCAGTGGTAGATGTTGTCGGAATTGAACTCCCTGCAGAAATACTTTGCAGTCTTTTGCCCACAGTTTAACATTTGCTCTGGGAGTTCTCCTTGAGTCTCTGTTATGTATTTTAGTATGGCATATTCACTGTATCCAGGGTACAGCAAAGAACCCGTGTATAGAGACACTGCCATGCAGCCCAGAGACCATATGTCTATGGCTTCTGTAAAAGGAAGCCCCAGAATAATCTCCGGAGACCGGTACGGACTTGTCTGGATGTATGAGCCCACCTTGGCAGCTGAGGTCTCACAGGCCACACCGAAGTCAATTAGTTTAACTCGGTATGGCTCTTGGGGATTATTCACCAGCATCACGTTGTCTAATTTCAAGTCTGCATGGATTGTTCCAATCGACTTGAGGTGGCTAAGAGCTAAAGCTATCTGTATGACGATGGGGCGAACAGCCTTTAAACTGAGCGGTTTGTAATATCTTTCTTGCAATAAGTCAAGAAGACTTTTTTCGAGGAATTCAAATTCAAGGCACAGATGTCCACAGACTGTAAAAGCCTGGTACCATTCGACTATATTGTACTTGCTGGAGTTGCAGGCTTTAAGTTTTTGCAGGGCAGCCAGCTCTTGGTTTTTAAACGGGTCTTTTTGGTCCCGATCCTTTATCATTTTAATGGCTACAATCTTTTTGTCAGCCATTTGGACACATTTGGCAACTCTGCCATATGTCCCTTCTCCGACAAGACTTATAATTCGGTAGTTGGAGGATTTGGAGGAGAGCCAGCCACCGGGGACTAACTTGTCCTGGACATTTCTGAAAGACATCTCTGATGCCATCAAAGTGATTTACACTAAAAGTTAGAAGAGTAAAGCAGATTTCACCTCAAAATATAATGAAATCAAATAGATGGTTCTTCTTTCTTCTTCAAAGTGTGAAAAGGTGAAAGGTCTGCTCAAACGGTTTACTGTTAAACTTGGTTCTTGCAGGCGTGACCAAATGTATCTCTGCCTGAACGTTGGAACGTTTGCGAACTGCTGCTGGCCTCAACTGCTGTGAACAAACTGACTAATAACTGCTGATTCTCACTTCTGTTTAAAGAAAAACAAAGATCAAAGATTCTAAGACGTTTGTGACATCATCACTCTGTAAGCCATTGAGATTGTGACATGGAATTTATGAATGGGGATGTTTTTTTTTAAACTGTTTTCAAATTTAATATGTCAGTTAGCTTAGTTTTAGAGCAGTTGGTTAGTTACCACTTTTATATAGCACTTGTGTTCCCATTTTATATACTTTGGGGTTGTTTGGTAGATTTTAGGTCTTTTTCCACTCAGCAAAAATAATAAAACATACTTGTATGTATTTTTTTTAAAGTTTCAAATGATCAATGCATTTGGTTTATTATCATCATGTGAGAGAAGGCACAAAGGATTTCAGACACAGATGCAAACACATCGGGCACTCTGGGACACTTCTGACACCACAGTGCTTGGCATGCACAGCATGTACTATTTAATGTCAGCACTGCAATCAGCGCTTCAGTGAGTCATCTGTTTGCACATGCAGGAACACAAGAATGATGATGCAGCCTTGACATGAGGTTTGACAGGTTGCCGGAAGCAATGAACACCTCAGACACACAGCCTGCCGTGGACAGCAGAGAGATGATCACAAGAACGGGTTTACAATCAGCAACATGCTTTTTGTTTTTAACCCAACCTGTTGACATTGAGGCATCTTGAATGATGAACGCTTTATGAGGAAGTGATGCGGTGCATGAGCACAGCTGAGCCTGGGACGATGAACCAAGGAACCTTCACTCAGACAACTCCCCGTCGCAGTGTTTGGGTCACACTTAGTCACATTAAATGTTTTTCAGGATTAAAACTTGAACTCAAACTAAATTTTACATGTGTGCTGATATGTACAGTGATATGGATGTTGCATAGCAATTGTCAAATTATTTTAAAAAGTGAAAACAAAAAGAATCTATCCTCTTTCCAAGTTTAAGAAGATAAGTTGCAGTAGACTTTTGAAATTTGGTAAAGTTGGGTTTTCTGGGGATGCATATTTAGAATTTGTGTGTTCCTGTGTGTGTGTGTTTGCATAGCTTTGCTCCCACATACATCCACCATCAGTACATCAGCGCTGTCAGTGTGCAATGTGGAGAGATCACTGGAGGTAATGTAGGGAGAACAGGGTGGAGAAAAGAGGCGTCCTAGAGACGCCAAAGAATCCTTCTGTACTTTAAAAGTAAAACATGAATACACAGCTCTGATTACAAACCCCTTGCCTCCCCTTCTTTTCTGTTGCTAACTTTCTTTCTCTTATGTCACCAGGAGATATATAAGCGCTGCATTAAGCTGTCACATAGTCCAGTCAACAAATACTCTTCCTCCTCAGCGAAACCAGCCACATCAGGTCGAGATAGACTCACAGCTAGGCCAGTTACTCACACAAATTGGCATCATCGACCCACAAATTTGATGCTTCAGTGCATTTTGGACATCTCTGCAAAGCAATCGAGGTACACACAACATGATAGGAAGGTGTCCGGTCCTCATCAGGACTTAAAATTAGGTAAATAAAACTTCAGATCAAGAATGACACATGACATATTACACCATGTCATTATTTACTTAGTGCTTCTATAGAGTATCAGAGGGTAAGTAACAGCCAGGTGCTGCTAATCAAATCAAACTGATTATCAGTAAGAGTGAGAAGCTCTATAAAAGCAAAGTCTTTGCTTGTCTGGAGCATTCAGGTGTGCGTCAGAGATATCAGCAGTGATCTTACAGACACAACTATCGCTGCCTCTCTACCTCGAAAGTGTTATAAAGTAATTTCCAAACAATTTGACATCCAGATCTACAGCGACAACATTTAAGACCGCTGCCTGTCTTCCCAGAGGTGGATGTCCTGAGAAATTCCCAAGATCAGGCGATACGATGCTCAGAGAAACGACGAAAAATCATTTACACTACAGGCCTCGGTTAGTGTTTTAAAAGTTAAACTTCATGACAGTACAGTTCAGTAAAAAGACTGAACAAGAATGTTTTGTTTGGAAGGATTTCCAGGAGAACAACTTTTCTCTGACATGGACGAATCATTCGTTTTGGTCATTTCATGGGACAGCATCAAAAATACTTAACAATAAACAGTCTTAAATGCCAAACAGGCACATTTGGTTTGAATTCCACCATACAGGATTTGAGAAGATCCAGGAAGCCTTTAAATTTCATAAAGGTTGTTTCCAGAAACATAGTCAATGTTTGATACGCGGGTTTGTTTTCGAACTGTTCAGAGAATGTCACTGCAGCAACTGTGTCAAACGCTCCAAAATAAAAGTTTAGATAAAAAAGATTTATTGACAAGCAAAACAGCATCTCTATATATTACATAAAGTCATCTTATGTACAAAATTAATTTGTATTGACTGAAAGCACACAGTCCTCGTGCAGGAGCTGCATGTTCAGAGTCTTTGCAGTCATCCTTGTCAGCGGTCACAACACTTTATTCCACAGATGTGGAGTCAAATCAGGCTTTGTTGTCTTTGCCTGCTTGGCTGGGGGGAGGATCCATCAGGTCCTTAAATCCCAGTTTCTCCAGAGGCTCCTTGGTCATCAGCTGACTGAAAACAAAAAATAAAACCAAGACGATTATACACGTTACCTTTGTCGATTCACTAGGTAACATTTTCATTGGCTTTCTTACTGGTCCATTCGGCACTCCAGGTAGTCTTTGGACTGCAGTCGGCACATGGAGTTGTCATAGTTGTTCTCTCTGAGACATTTCATGAACTTTTCTTTGAAGGCTTTGCACTCTCCTGGAAAAACAAAAGGACAAAATCAGGACTTGTGCATTTGTATGGTCATCTGTAACCCTCAGTAATAAAACTGTTTCTTCCGAGCCACACAACACTAGTGCTCAGTTATAACAAGTACTTAAGGGGAACGTTAAAGAATCAGGAGCCCACAGGTTGTCATCAACTTTCAGCCCCGATAAGGCGGCCCATCACGATCATCAGTCAGGATTTACAGACGAAGCTAACATCCAGCACAAGTTATCGAGAACAATGGCCAACAACATAATGCACATATATTTGATTTTTAATTGCCATTAAAAGTCTTTGAAAGTTATGACACGCTAATGAGGGTTCTTCTTCAGAAAAAAAAAATCATGTTAATAAAAACAGAATCAGTGAAGTTTGTATGAAACACAACATTTGTGCTACTGCCAAAACTTTCTGTCCATGACTGTGTATCATGATACTTTTCTAGCTTTTTAAGTGAAGGGCTGCTGCCAACATATTGCACAAAGGTTCTGTCCAGTTTACATAGAGCAGGACAGACATTTGTGTTTTCAAATGAAAGAAAAGAAAATCAAACAGGTGAGGCGTTGTCCTACAAAGTTTCCTGTTGATATAGAGTTGTTTTACATACACTCATCATGCGCATGAATGGTCATTTTGAGCTTTTATAATTTCTTTAAAGTGAAACCAAGGTGCAACTTGCTAAGGAACATTTAACCAAATAGTGCGGGTGTACATATATGAGCCTGTGTTGATTAAAGAAAATAATTTCAAACTTGTGAACCCAATTATAGTTTTGAAAACCATGAAAGATGTGTGGTGGTCAATCTTCATTTTCATTAAATGTCTCTTATTTTAATAAAGCAAACTGATCAGAAGTTTAATGTAGTTAAGAACATTTATAACTGGCATAAATATAACGCAGAGCAGCGCATCATACATGTTTGTGTAAATGCTATTTTCATTACAGTCTGTCCTTCAGACCTTCTGTCCTAATAGCATCAAGCATCGCTGTAAACGTCCATGTACCAATCCTGCTAAAAGGCAGCTGCCTTAGACAAAGGTCTATGAGTGCATTGCACTTATTTAAAACATTTCTAAATATTTATAGCAAACACCGTCACAGTTATTATTAATTCTGTCGCTGTTGCGTCTGCGGTGAGGGGAACGAGAGTTATTTAACGGGGCAGACAGGCTCAGCTGGAGCTTACCGAAATGGTCCAGAGGGAACGAGCCTTTGTCCGGAGGCCGAGGTTTAAAAGTCTTCGACCCGAAATTCATAGCGGTAGACATTTCCTCTCAGTTCACGGTGGGCCGTCTCAAAATGTTTTGACATAAACAACAGCCTCTGCGTTTGACCCTGCTGTCGCGCAAGTATGACGTTTTATTTTGAGGGCTCGGCAGACAGACATTAGTAATCGATTGATGCTATCGTAAACTGTCCGCCCTTTCGTGAAAGAATAAGAGCAGATATTAATTAAACCCATATATGGGTTTAATTTTGGTCCTAATAAATGTGTAACCTATTTTTTTCCGTGGCATTAACAACCAGTCTGCTAAAAATGACCATGTAATGCACAATAGCAAACTGATACTACAGGGGGGAAGCACAGTCAAAATTTCCCCTCATTATAAACAAATGACTTTGGATACTTTGCAAAATAAAGTTCTCATTAAAACAGTTTCATATTTAAAAATAGCATAACGGACTAAAAAATAAAATAATAATCATTTTATTTTCCATTACTGTGCCTTTACACGTACACCATAAACTTCTCTGATTATTAACTGATAATGCTGCAGCTTTGTAAAACTCTGTAACTGTACACTGCATCTGATAGAACCGATTCATACTGTCCTCTTAGATACTGTAATTAATTGAAAATCATAACTGCTGCATAATTTAAAAATGATTTGATGCAACAACAAAAACGATTGCCTCAGGCAGCTGACGACAGACGGTGATGAGGAACAGGAAGAGAAACTGTCACGGACGACCAAGCCCCTGCATGGGATGACAGACAGAGGAACTGACTGACATTAGGAAATCCTACTGGTTAGAAGCCGACAGCACAGAGGCTCTGATGATGGCAGCACAAACACAGGCCCCAAGTGCCAGATCCATAGAAGTAAGCGTTTACCACAACCAACAGGACCCAAGCTGCAGACTGTGCAAGGCTGCCCCAGAGACTATACACATGGCAGGCAACAGGATGTAAGATGCAAGCTGGGACTGTGTGCAAGAACATCTGTGCTGCATATATTGCATATTCACATTCACACACTGTGTGTGAATGTGTGTGTGAATGGGTGGATGACTGGTTGCGTAAAGCGCTTTGGGGTCCTTAGGGACTAGAAAAGCGCTATACAAATACAGGCCATTTATATACCCTAAAAGTCCCCAAGTCTTGCTGGGAAACACCAAAAAAGGTGGTTAAGAGAAACAGGCCAAATGTGCTGTGGTGGCTGAAAAGGTGCATAAAATCAGAGTTGTGTTAAATGTGGCAATCGCAGCAGACAGCAACATCAGGAAGAAGGAGCAGGAGAAAATAGGAAATCACCAGCGGCTGAAGGAACATCTGGAACAGATGTGGAAGTCCAAAGCGATCCCAGTGGTAATCAGGGGTCTCCATCCAGGAGAGTGCAACCCTGGAAACAACCTGCAACCTGCCCTCAGATGGGAGATATATGTTAATATGTATTTATTAATAGGCACAGTTATTCACCTCCCCGTTGCTGCGTGTGCATTCAGAGCACTTTCATGTTAGCAGTTTCATTTAAATGACATTTTTGCACGAGAGGAGGATCCGACTCCACTGGATTCTTTAAACGTGCAGCTTCACCTAGCTCACCGCTGGATGTCTCACTTTTCTAAGATATAAGGCTGAAGGGAAAGCAGGCAGACAGACAGGAGGGGAGGAGGCGGCGATGGTAACGTGTGGGCTTGATTATTATGCAGCCAAAGAGCCTGGGTAATAGAGCTATCAGTGAGAGGCAGAAAGAGCTCTCGGCGCGGATCGCTCAGTTTCCTTTTCTCTCTCTGCTCTCTTATCCTCGGGCACAGCTCGGAGGTGGCAGGTGACCAGTCTGTCTGTCTGTCTGTCTGCTGAACCCCAGCGGCGGATGTTCTTGGGCACCTTCTTCCCACCGCGGTGAGGCTGGACGGATAAACTCACCATGGCGCTGGAAGCGGAGGGGAACAAGCTGCAGCTGCAGGACGTGCTGGCGAGACCGGGCAACGACAAGTGCGCGGACTGCGGCAATCCAGGTAAGGCAAACCTTCCCCCCTCCACCCCGTCCACCAGCCCCGTTACTGAAAACCCGGCGCCCGGTGGAGCCAGCGCATCCAGCTGCCGGTGCGCGTGTGCGTTTCGAGCCGCTGTACACCAGCAGGGGGTACATGAGCCAACTGGCACTTCAGAACCGCACAAGTCTGAGCGAGTCTGATGACAAAGGCCCGCAGATACCCGAGGACAAAGTAGACCAAAGTAGGCCTGACAGTGGACTCTGGACTTATAAGTCTGAGCCATAAACCAATTAAACTGTGTGAAGACATGCCAACTCTGTGTGTGTGTGTGGTTTTGTGTTATTACAGTCTACACTGTCAGCAACCTCCATAAAGCTCAGTTATTACTTGTGTGTGAGTGGTTTTGCTCTGCATGTTCCTGACTGTGTGTCCACCCTATTCCTGTGCAGCTATTTATGTTCATTTTTCACTGTCTTCATCTCTCCACCCCCCACCCAGATCCTCTCTTCATCATCCTTTCAGTCCACCCCTCCTTCCTCGGTGCTCAAATGGCAGTAAACCAGTGAGTGGCCAGTCGAGGCTCCAGTATGGGCCGAACGCCCAGTGCTTGGAGCCGAGCCTGCCCGGGACGCCTGTTCCTTGGCCCCGGTTACGGCTCCTCTGAGGACTGGCTGCAGCAGAGCAGCATTTTTTTTTTAAATTTTATTTATTTCTTTATTTATTTGAGCCAGAGGCACTTTTGCAAAACGAGATAGCTTTGTCTGAGGGGTAGACACTTAAAGAGGGATTTCATTGTGATTGTAGCAAGGTGGAGAGGTTGTTATTTTTTGTGGTTGATGCAGCTTTTAATTAGCAGAAGCATTTTTCTTTTCTTTTCCTTTTTTTTTTATCAGCAACCTACATAACAACAGTTCAGCCTTTTGTCAGTTTATAACAGCTTTTACACAATGGTTAAAGTGAGATTTGGCAGGGCGGGGGGAACACTGAGATCCGGTGTAGTGGTGCAGCAGGGAACAACGACTCACCTTAAAATAACTCAGAGATTGATTTGTACCGTGAGCTCCAGTGGGTTTGTGTCTTAGCAGACAGTCCAAAACCATGACTACTTAATATTATCTCTATGCGTGTATGGATACCTCAGACTGCCCTACACCAGGCCAATATCAATCAATCAATCAATCAATCAATCAATCAATCAATCAATTCTTATCTGCTTATCCAATTCACGGTTGCAGAGGGGCTGGAGTCTATCCTAGCGACCATAGGGCAAGAGGCAGGGTACACCCAGGTTGCCAGCCTGACACAGGGCTAATACAGAGAGACAGACAATACATTCACACTCACATTCACACATCTCTGTAATTTAGAATCACCAGTTAACCCAACCTTGAGTCCAAACCCATGACTTGATATAATATAAGTTTGCACATGGATACCTCAACCAACCCTCCACCAGCCCAAATAAAGTCAATTAAAATTAGCCACAGTGTTGCAGAGCCACATCCACAAGAAGAGGTTTTGGTACATATCCGCTGAAAGCTAACAAAGTGTGAAATTATCACTTGAAATTAAGTTTATGGTAGTTAGCAAGGCATCACTGTTATTTTCGTTATGCTTTTCGTCAATGACCCTAGTTTTTTAACCTTAATTGGAATTATAAAAATTGATTAGTATAAACAATAGGCTCAGTAGATATTTTACTAAGTAGTTTACAAATGAGTCCCATTGGTGTGCTGGGTTTGGTGGAAAATTGTGGCATTCAGAAGATGCATCCTAGCTGACCCCTGTGAGACCCCAGCCATACGTGAATGTTATTAAAACATATGGGATGGTTGTTCAGTAGAATAGAGTAGAAAAGAGAGTAGAATACTGATGGGCAGTAGTCATTAGCTTCATTGTTAATTAGTAAATGTTAGCATACTTGAGGAAAGAAAGTACTTTGTAAGTGTTACTTATGCTGGAAACCAATTCTCCAAGCTGAAAGTAAAATGAAACCTGATCTGTTATATATCTAAAAGACATCCTTGTCAAGTATGCTGTCTTCTTTAAAATGATGAACAGGGTAGAGGTTATAGACGGTTAGCATTAGCATTGTTTCTGTGAGCGTGTGGCTGTGTTAGCATAAGCATTTATTTGCAAACCTGTACAGACTCACAGGCCAGCTAGCATGACTACAGGCTGTTTGGGGAAAGCTGGCACAATGATTTACACTGATCAAGCGTTATTTGTCTCTTGGGATGTCGTTTTTGATGATTTGTTCACTGTTCTGCTACAGTTCACTATGCCTCAGGGAAAGATTGGCATTGAATGTTCCCAAGCTAAAACTGTTAAGCAGTTTTCCCTGGCAAGCACACCACTTTCACCTTTGCAATGATTGCAAAATATATTCTCGCCTCTGAAGAGCAGTTGATGTTCTGTTCTGTGTGGCAGTGCCAATTGTATCCGGGATGTAATACAACAGTTTAGGGAAAGGAGCTGGAAAATCTGATCCGCCAAATCGTGTACACTCGTTTTCCTCAAGAGGTGATGAAATTTCCTTCAGCATGCGTGCTATAGTTTAGTTGAATCCAACTGCTTTGTTTCCTAATTACTGTGCTTCTTTCATAAAATTTCACAAGAGTACAAGCAGCACAGATGAAACCCCCACCAGTACCACTTCCCCTGTTTGCAGGAACCAGGAATCCCCAAGCTAATAATTCACATCTCATCAAGATATGAATTTTTGATGCTGGTTTTGGTGGTTCAATTGTGAGATGGTTTCAATATAGACAAAAACAGACAAATCCGCTCAATAGACAAAAGAGAAAGGAAAAAAAACTTCACTGTGGCTGTTAAGTAGAATATAACAGATACCGTACAAAGAGGTAAGTACAAAATGGGAAATAGTTTTTTCATATTTAGTGAAGCAAACATTTGATTTTCCTTAAAGAAGTGCCATCTATCCATTTGTTCTGCTTATCCAGTTCTGGCCTGTGGGAGAACTGGATCCCAGGTATCGAAGGGCGAGAGGTGGGGTACACCCTGCACTCCTATATCCAATGTAAAACCTGGAAAGAATCCACACAAGCATGGTGAGAACAAGCTTGTTCGTTCAGGCCACATGCTGATTTCGAACCCAGTAACCTTCTCCCTGTACTCAGAATTTTCTTATTAATTTTACACATCAGTCACTGACTAAGAAACAGAGCAACATTGCTCACTTCCCAGGTAGAAACTTGTCATCGACAAGGTGGATCTGCCCTAAAGCAGCGGTGCCCAAACCCGGGCCACAGACCAGTACCAGTCTCTGAGTCATTTGGTACCAGGCCGCGAGAGTTGATGCTCGGGTGTGAAATCTATGGTTTTCTATTTTTTTTAATCATTTTTATTGTTATCTTGGTGTCCCTGGGTCTTTTCCCATGTGTTATGAATCTTTTTTTTTTTTTTAAATTTTGTTGTATTTATCTGGAACACCTTAAAGGTCGGTCCGTGAAAATATTGTCGGACATAAACCGGTCCATGGTGCAAAAAAGGTTGGGGGCCGCTGCCCTAAAGGATGTTCTACTTTATCCCCCTCTTTTGCTTTAATGGGGCCACAGTTTACAAAATGAACAACATGTTGTGTTCAGTGAGAAATGAAACTAGCGATTGAGGCCATAAACTCATCAGAAGACTGTTTGGTCATTTCATAGATTGAGGGAGCATAAGGGTCATTTTTTACAGGCCTATATAAAAAATGCACTTATCTTATCTCCCAGGAGATGCCGGCAGCATGTCCCTCGATTAATCTTGTATAATGGCCATTCCCAGATGTTGCAGTTCACACAGTTCTTCTCCTAGTTGACTTAGTGGGAGTACAGACGTTTAAATTTGTTTGAAATCTGATGGCATTAATCACAGTGGTGCATTTGTTAAAGAATTTGTATGCAAATGGTTTCTAAATTTAAGACCAGACCAGAAACCAAGACAAGCGACTGTTAAGTGGGTGTGAGGGCTTTCAGCTAGTTCACAAGTAAACATTTACACTCTGAAAAGGTCTTCTCCAGAAATATATCGCTTTCTGCAATGACTCACACGATAATTCAAATGGGATTAGGAAATAAGAAAGGCATACATTGTGCTAGACAAAATTATTTTGGAGTCTAGTCCACTCGCCGTCGTGTGGTTGTCTGGCTCTCGCCTTCTCTCGATTTCACACCTACAGCTAATTTAGAATCACAAATTAACCTTAAGCAGATCTTCGGTGTGTGGGAGGAAACCCGTGCAGAAGCACTCCGAACAGAAAGATCTTTCTTGGTGAAGAATGAAATATGTCAGAAAAAAGACAGTTTCTAGCTTTACTTTGCTATAAAGGTGACAGGTTAGCCTGCTTTTCCTGAAAGATGAGGCCCTCCATTTTCCCCGCTCCTTCTATTGTTCGTGAATTTGCAGACTTACAAAGTAAAACACATCGCAGCATCAGCAGTGACCTGCCGGTCCTTCCTCACCCGTGTCTTATCGTCCCATCTCAGATACAGCATTCGTTAAGCAGGCAGAAAGCTTGCTGGAATTGGTCTGAAAACACGCATGGCTTGTAGATGTTTTTTGTAATGCTTAGTCATTCTTACTTTGCCCTTCCTTACCTTTGCGTTTCTTCCCCTATCTTCACTCTGCTGGTGCGCTTTGATGAGACCGCTGAGAGGCTGAGCTGGGCGCCTGTACTGCGGGGTTTCTCTGTAGCTCAGCAGCACTGTGGTTCTGCCCTCTGCTGAGGACACACAAATGATTTTTTGCCTCCAGAGAGAAGCCTCAGCAATCCTTTTAGGTGTGCAGAAGGTGTTTATAGAACAGCAAATCAGCAGGTCCAAGATGAGGTATAACGAGGTTTAGGTTCCCTTTGCAGTTCCACTCATTGCTTTCTGGGGGTTTTTTGGGTTTGAAACGTCTGAAAGCGGCCGGCTAAGTCCGACCCGCAAAATAATCAGAAATAAATAATAAATAATCAGAATACAAGTTGACACTCATCTAAGTCGAGTTTGCTATTGCAAACAGACTCGCTGTAG